GAAGCATGCAGGGTACTACCCCCTTTTATATTGCTGCTGCTGCTGCTGCTGCTACTGCTGCTGCTGCTGCCGCTGCTGCTGCTGCTGCGGTGCTCGAGGGGGCAGTCCGCCTGCTGTTGCAGCAAATCCTCATATAGGGGGGGGGGCCCACTGAGCTCTCCTGGGGGGGCCCCCCCCATGATGCCTCGGCACTGTCTATCACTGGGGTGGATGGGGGCCCCCTGGGGGGCCCCCTGGGGGGGGGCCCCCAGGGCCCCCTGGGGGCCCCCTGAACTCCTGCGGGGGCGAGGGGGGCCCCTGAGTTCGCGGGGGCCCCCCGCATGATGGCTCCTCCTCGGTAACCTGCTTAGGCCCCCTCTGGGGGCCCCCATACTGCTGCTGCTGCTGCTGCTGCTGCTGCTGCTGCTGTTCCTGCTGCTAGGGCCTTCGTCAGACACACCAACGTGGCTGCATGCAGGGGGCCCCCCGGGGGCCCCCGTGGGGCCCACCTCATGCCTATGGTACAGCAACCGCTGAGGGGGCCCCTGTTCTGCTGTTCTGCTGTCTTGCTGGGTACCAGCAGCAGCAGCAGCAGCAGCACCACCGCCGCCCCCAGCAGCAGCAATAGCTGCTGCTGCAGCTCTAGGGGTCCCCGAGGGGCCCCCAGGGGCCCCCCCAGGGGCCCCCGGGGCCCCCCCAGGGGCCCCCGGGGCCCCCCTTGACGACTGCCTGCCCCCGCGTCTCCTCCCCTGGACCCCCGAAACGAAATATCGATGCAGATGGGGGGCCCTCATGGGTTGCATGCGGCTGGCACGGGGCCCCCGGCCCCTAGGAGAAGAGGGGGCCCCCCATGTGGGGGGGCCCCCCCTGGGGGCCCCCCCACTTGTAGGGGCCCCTATGGGGGCCTCCGGGGCCCCCCAACTCGATGCTGCTGCTTCGTTATTAAAGGAAGAGCAGCAAGGCGATTGCTGGGGGCCCCCGCATGCAGTACCTCCCTGTTCATGGGGGGCCCCCCCGGGGGCCCCCCCGGGGGCCCCCACGGGGCCCCCGCTTGGCTCCTGGGTGGGGGCCCCCATCATAGGGTTTCCCCCCCCTACAGGGGGGGGCCCCCCTGTGGGGGGGGCCCCTATGGGGGGGCCCCCAGAGGGTACATGATATGCTGAAGGCTGCAACCTGTTGAGGCCGTCAGCAATGGAGGGGGCCCCCTGCTGCTGCTTGGCTGCTGCATGCATGTGGGGTTTGGGGGGCCCCCCAGGGGTTCTTTTAAGGGGGCCCCCTGGGCACTGCCTAGGGGGGCCCCTATTACTACTACAACTGCTACTACTAATACTACTACTACTACTGCTGCTGCTGCTGCTGCTGCTGTTGCTGCTGCTGCTGCTGCTGCTGCTGCTGGGGGCCCCTGGGCCCCCCTGCCAATTGCTGCATTCACCGAAACCCTCTTCTAGTTTAGAGGCCCCT